GATTGGATGGATGATGGATGGATGGTTTTTGGTTGGCTGGATGGATGTTTTTTGGATGTATGGATGGTTTTTGATTGGATGGATGGATGGATGCATGTATGGATGGTTTTTGATTGGATGGATGGATGGATGCATGTATGGATGATTTTTGGTTGGATGGATGTGTTTTCCACTCTGCCTCAGTTCATTTAAATGAGCTCTGCCTCGGAGAAGACTGCTGCCTCTGGACGGCGTCCACAGACGATGTCTTCTTTACACGATGGACTCGGTGAACTTTAAGGACGAGGCTCCTGAGTCCACGCGGTGAAGATTCTTAGTTGAAACATCTGTTCACTGAGCTCCATGAAGAAAATATGGCATTCTGAGTGCGTTGTTTTTATTTACATTTTACACAATAGCTCAACTTGTTCAGAGTTGTTTACAAATTAACCATATAAAAGTCACATGTTATCATGTGTGTTTTATATGGGGTTCATCACTTTATGTTAATTTCACCTTCAGAATTATAAACTGAAGGTGCTTCATGCTACACCGGACACCAGCCGTGCTCCATTATGCGTTCAACTCATCGCCACAATTGCTCTAAAGCGTAAAGTAGTGTAGTGACACGGTTTGTAATAGTTTAGGTGCTAAACGTCTCTCTGCATCTCTGACCGCTCCAGGACCACAGCGAATATCTCCCACAGTTCCCAAAAACATGCCAACGCCACAGCGGATCCAGCACAACACGCCGGTCATAAGGAAGAACCCGTCTTTGTCAAGAAACGGGGGCAGTGATGCAGAGGTCATGGAGCTAAATCAACAGGTACAGCAGACAGGAAGAACTGTACCGTATTAATATCTATGCATCCATACATGATATTATCAATTCTTTTGTAAATATATAAAAAACAAGAGTTAATCGAGCTGATGACCTTCACAGACTCGCCTTCTCTATAGTCTCTGCGCCGCCACTCCATTGTTATTTTTTAAGAATTGAAAAGTCGTCTGTGTTTTTTCCATTTGTCAGACTATTCTGGATATAAACATAATCGTCATCTTTATCAAAATCCTTTTTTAAAAATATATATTTTTGATCAGGTCATGATCAGCAGCTTGAACGTATTTCCTCTCCTCCTCAGCTGATGGAGCTGAAGCTGACGGTTGATGGTCTGGAGAAGGAGAGGGACTTCTACTTCAGCAAACTACGGGACATCGAGCTCATCTGCCAGGAACACGAGAGTGAAAGCAACTCCGTCCTCAGCAGGATAATTAACATTCTGTACGCGACAGAGGTACTCGTCAATTAGGAGTGATGCTCGTTACCATGGAAACAACTAAAACTCCCCCTTTAAACAGAGTCTTTGTCAACAATGCCTTATATGTCGTGTTCAGTTTATTTATATTTTACCACATCACAACGTCTTCCTAGGGCACTGAACAACAAAAACAAGTCGACATTAAATTCTAAAGTGGATTCAGTCCAAGAAAATCACTTGCAGTCAATGAAGAAATGATAAATAGTAAAAAGTTGTCAATCAAAGGAGGCATCAAGTCCTGGTGTAGTTTTTATGGTCCAGGTGTAGTTTCTATAGTCCTG